GACATTGAGAGTTAGTATTTATGGAAATGCTAATTCGAGTCCAATGTTAATTGTTTAAAAAAATAAAAAAATAAGTCTGGTTGTTTCACAATGTGTCATCCAAAGAGGGTTTTAAGGAACTTTTAAGGAAAACTATTAAAATTTATTAATAACATTATTGTGTAAATAATTACACTAAATTTATATCACATATACAATATATAACTATTAAACAAATACGGAANCNAGGAATATNTGGTAATTAATATGNAAAATTTATTTAATAAATATAAAGTATATGTGAGAATACTTTTTCATGACTATTATATTTTTTTGACATGCGTTAAATACATGATTAGAATATTCAAAAAAAATCATGATTTTTTATATACAGGAGAAATTAAAAATAACAAAGATATATCTTCAGTATAGATAAATATATTGATAAATATATTTTATCTTACAAAATTTAATTTGCATGATACTTAGACTAAATGCAGATAATTTTTTAGAANTGCNACTTTTCAAAANTGTCATCATTTTGAAATTTTNTTTAAAATGNNACTAATCCTCTANATATTAATTGAATAGACATTTGGTGAAAAATCATATGTATTATTCAATGAGAGTTTTAAAGAATATATCATTTAAATTAACTAATGAAAATATTTTAATTGAAACTATATGTTATGATGGAAATCTCTATATGTTTTTATTAATTTTATAACATAAACCCATTAATATATATTTTACAGAGTTAAGTTAAACTCAATGTAATATTTAGACTTACTATATCATCTATTTTAAAAAAAATTGATATATTAAAAAGCTTTTTATTATTATATTTGTAACAATGTTATTTATTTTTAGATGATAACTACACTTACAAATATTTTAATATTTTATTATTAGAAAACATATTTGTTTGTTATGTCCAAAAATTTTATATAAATCTAAAATTTATATAATCTATACTTTATTTGATTTATCGCATACTCTACTATTTACACAAATAATAAAACTCAATTTGACACTTCAAATAAATTGAAATAAATAACATTTGCATTAGTTTTAATATTTTATGCAAAATTGATCAAAACATATGACATTGAAATATGTTTAGTAAAAATTTAATTTTATTATATTTATGCACAATACATATCATTTTGTATGTTTATAAATATTAGAATACACATCTAAATATTAAGACCGATTAAAAAATATATTTCAATATTTAATCCCACATTTGGCGTGGGTCAAAATCTAGTATTTTATTATTTGTATTTGACAGAAAGAAAAAACAAACAAACCAATTTTGCAATTTGATGGAA